AGGTAAAAGACATTAAAAAGTGCAATACAATAGTGCAATAGACACAAATGATTCAAGGACATTTCAGGAGTAAGAAGAACATGTTCATATAAAAAGGATACGATGAAACAGAATGTAAACGGCATAGAGAAATATAAATACGGTTTACTGTAGTGACACACAGAATGCATGTAGACATAGTAATACTTGCTACACCCATGACACACAGATTTCACATGAACACACCCTGGAGACATTACATGGAGGAGCCCCATGCCGAGGCCTGTTGTGAGTACGGAGCGTATCATTTGTGGGCCGCTGCTAAGTGAACACACTTGCCTGCAGTTACCAGGTTTCACACAAATACGGCTCTGACTTCTCGTGTCGGTGTGGAGCAAGATGGGCCTGATAAGCACTCAGCATTTTGGGGCTAAACCAGTCTGGCTATGTGGATTAGCTGGCGTCACTCGTGTTTTTCCAGTTTCACTGCATCCTCAGGCCTGCTGCTGAACATGTGTATTTTGCACAGTATGCTGCACGCGTGTCTTTATCTATCCACTTGTGTTTTTGTCTTCCTGTCTATGCACTGCGGATGGATGTCTTCCCAACACACAGTGATGACAGAAGTACTCAGATCTTGTACTTGCATGAAAGTACTGATACCGCACTGTACAAATACACAAAGTCTATATATACGATACTTTAATCAGTTAATCAAAAAGCAACATTTATTTAAAGGGGACATATTATGCTCATTTTCAGTAAGTATTATCAGCAAAAGTACTTTTTAGTATATTAAATGTAAAAGTACCCAACGTAAAAAATAATAATAGAAAATCTTGAAATGATTTAAAATAAAATAAATCCGTTTTTGTATAAAATGTTGGCTAATTAAATGCATTACAAACTATCATACTGAAATTATTTCTTCTTTTAAATCTTCCAATTTGTACATATAATAACTATAGCCGTTGGTACAGTGAAAATACAGTGTACCTGTAATCTGCACTTAAGTAGGATATTTAAGTAAATGTACTTTCACCACTGCTCAAAAAGCCTACGCTACATCACCGTGACTGACGTATCATCATTTTTCAATCTTGGCTCTCTTGCCATACACATTGCAAAACTCTTATTCAAACAAAGAGCTGCAGTCATGCTAAAGCTTACACAGTCACTTTACCAAGCGTTGCCACGGGTTCCTAACACACCTTGTCATAGCAACAGTTGCTATGTTTTGGCCCACCTGTATGTTTTGCCAGTGAGGTAAAATGCATGACCACACTGTACGGTATTTCTTCTTCTCTGTTGTAAAAAAGGGAAGCTATGAATCCATCGGTGCTGCAGGAATACAGACACATTGATCCTTGAGTAAATGTGGCTGAGCTTAGCGAGTACAGGCCATTCTTGTTTTATGTGTTGACCCGGCATTCTGACTCAGGGCCTAGTATTTCCAAAACACTCATTGAATTCCATTTATAAATGACAGGCCACAATAACAGGTTAATGGCTGCTGTGTGCTTCAATAACCCACCTGCTGTCTGACTTACAGCCAATGATTTTCCCTCTCCAGATAAGCAATTTATATAGTCTGTGGTATTTCTGCTAAGGCCAGAGGAAAACATAGTTACCAATTATGTGTCAGATGTAGATGCGGGGACCTAGATCCAACTATGTGTGCACATATCTGTCTATGTTTGTGCTTTGTTGTGGACAGGGCCTGCTGGCTCCTGGCTCCCAGATGAAAGACATTTCTCATGTGGCTGGTTTAGTGGAGCTCCTGAGTCAGCATGCAGCTACTAATCAGTGTTTTCTCCCGCTCTGCTAGCCTGGCTCTGATCCCCCTACTCTTTGACCTGCAACCATGTTACTCTTACCTGTATGAGTAACAGTTCAAACAGAAGGGAAAAATCCAGTGTCCAAAGATATGTCTAAAAATGTGATCTAGCATTTTAGGCCAAATAATGCCCTTTGCAAGTTTAAGATTCTGTGTTCATATGGCTGTTAAAGAAAGATACCTTACCATAACATTGTCATCATACTAAAACATTTTACTGCGTTTAGGGTAAAAGTGAGGAATTCAGCACTTAAAATACAACTTGATTTAATGTTCTCCTCTTATGCATTTACTTAAAACCCAGGCAAGTTGAGCTCCTTAGTAGCACAGTGGTAAGAGGGCATCCCATATAACAGCCCTGGACATTATTCCACCCTTTGGAGCTTTGTTGCATTTCAAACCCCCCTCAAAAAACCTAAGGCATATGACACTGAGGGTTATGATGACTTTTTATGAGAATTCAAAGATATACTTCATGTGACAACCATCATAAATCATCATTATTACATTAAAAAACGAATCAAGTTAAGCAATTAAGTCTTTTCCCTTTTTCTCTTCTCTCTTAAGCTAAACTGACAAATTCAATTGTTACATCTGTTCTTTAATGTTCATAGATGGCCATATTTAAACCCTCACCTAATTGTTTGCTGCTGAAGCATAATTGCGCAGCTTTGATACATTAATGAATATGAGTCCAAAGGGATTTCAGTTGTTGATGTTACCCTGTACCCGCCTGGCACACATGACAGGTTAGAAATGCTGGCTAACATACAGAGATCTGGCAGATACTCAGATAAAACAAATTGGCTCAGCAGGAGAAATGGCAACCTGCACTGAGCCAACTGGTGGTCAATTTGACTAGTTTCTTATAAGTCTGTCTGCCAGCCACTTTGGCATTGGAGTGGACCCTTTGTCATGAATCAAAGACATTACGTGATCATAAAATAAGATGTTACTGAATTGTCCTAATAGGGGACGAACATTTTTTTGTTGTTATATATATATGACATGCACATAACAACATCTTAATATCTTGAGTTGAGCATTTTTTGTTGACACTGTATTTTGCCAGCCAGTGCACCGTAGTCTTCACTGACTTCTCAGCCTTCTCTCTATTTGATACACTATTAGATTGCGTATGAAAAAGGGAAGCGTTCTGAAAAAGAAGGAAACAATTAAGTGGTTTGTCAAAGGAAGTGGTGCAGGGATGAGTCCTAAAACCCAGAAATGAGTTGGCATGTTACCACTTTTTGTCTCAAAGTCTACCCCACTCATAAATGTCCAAGGCTTCTATGCGTCATAACAACTGCGATTGCTTACAACAGAATAGATGAGACTACTTAAAGTCATCACGGCCAATATTAGCCACCTTTAGCTTAACGGTAGTGATGCACAGATATAGATTGTATAGCGTAGTGTTACCTTTTTACCAAGTATTATAAAATCCTATGGAAAAATCTCTTTATTTTTTGTCGACAGAGCACTTGCAATTCTAACTTCATGGTTGGCCTACAAAAAGATGTCATCACTGCCCTACTCTACTGTCAGCCTGGTTTGTTTGGACAGATTTGTGGTGTAGTCCTGGTCACTTCCCTGACACTAAATCACTGAATAGTGATGATGTTTCTGGTCTACTGGCTCTGTAACTGGTCTACAGGAACATTCATGAAATAAGAGTTTCCTTGTCATGTGTTCCCAGCCTTACTCAGTGCATTAGCCTTGTTTCTTGTGTATTTCTGCGTGTAAATGGTCTGTATTAATGTGTACCAGGACACGGCACACTGCACTGGCCCCTGCTTTCCCACTGCACTGTGGTCATAGCAGGCCAGCTGTCAGCGGAGTCAGGAGGGAGTGTGAAACTACAAATTGTTGAGCTACGAGTGAACTGTTTGTTTTATTTCAGCAGGCATTACTCTGTTTCACAGTGGGATCAAATCCTTTTTTCCCCAACACTGGAGGCTCTGTAATGTCACGGCAACCAGATGAGTTTAGCTTGATATTTGTCCAGTTAGCTTTGCTGGTGGTCAGCTCCCACACACACCCAGGAAACACCAACCAAAACAAAAAAGGTTGTGTATAGTGGATGGAGATCTTTAGTTAACCAAACCGCTTAGTGAATTTGTATGTGAATGCATGCTTGTCTGTATGCTAATAATGCTAAACGTGCTGCTTAATTTAGACAGGCAGTATACTTTTCAAAAGAAAAAGGTCTATGTTATCAGAAAATCAGTGTCAATGTCACCAGTACGCTGACCCTGCTGCCAATTTAGGTTTTCCATGGCATGCTGGGATCAGTTAACCAGGGAAATGCCGACTTTGTCAGCCATAGATGGAATCTCTGTTAGCTTTCGAGTCCGCTTTCCACAAGGAACCATAACTGCAGGCATAACAATAGCTAGCTTTATCACCCAGCCGCTCTGTGTCCGGGTCATGTGCTCGGAGTGGTCCAGGTGGTCTCTAACAATTTGATAAAGAACATTTAAAATGGCATGGCAGCCTTTCACGTGCTATGGGAATATTGTGGGTTACCACATGACTAGCACAAGGACTTTTCCATAAGCCCAGGTCATAGGACAAGGGTATTTTCCCTTCCTTTTGGGTTACTGTTAGAAAATGCCCAGAGCTTCCATCAGGTCAGGGCAACAGAATTACAAAACGCATGGAATTGGTTAGCAAACATGAAAAGCACTGACTTCCTGCTCCTACTGAAAGTGATAGATTTAGCTTGATGCCCCTTTTTTCCCCCTCGTAAACACTCACAAGGTTTTATTGTGATGTTCTGCTGTGATTAACTGCTAAGCCGACGTATAAAGTGATCAGTAAATCACCTGCTGAGCGGAGAATCCTGAAGCATGTTCTCTGCTTATCAATAGAGCAGCACTGTTTTTTAATTTTTTATCTCAAGTCTAATTTCATGTTCCTTCTAAACAATCTAGAAGGTGTTGGCTGAATCAATACCTCCTATGTAAAATACTGCTGAAAACAGATGGAAAAAGAGCATTAAATGATCTTTTTGATTACATACACTATTATCCTTCCAATCCTGGTTGTTTTTGATATTTCCCTATCAATCATAGCTTCCTCTGCCCTACATTCCCTATGCTTTTCTCCTTTGCTTAAGGTCCTTTATGCATCACTTTTGGCCTGTTATATTGAACCTAACATATGTTCCTTCTCTCTACAGCTAAACCCTTCACTTCCAAAGTGAAGCAGATGCGCCTGCACAAGGAAGACTTTGAGATCCTCAAGGTGATTGGACGAGGAGCCTTCGGAGAGGTAATATACCTTCTGGTTTTTACACTAAACATGCAGCAAGCCTTTACCATACATGGTGAGAACCTGCAATTAGGGTTTCCCCTTTTTTCTCTTTTGAACGAGTAGCAGGTGTTAATGGACGATCTTTGTATGGATTTGTCGTGTGCAGTGTTATTTGTCGTTAAAAAATGGAACTTCTTTCTTAAGACATAGATTTTGCTCTATGATGTTGGGACAGTACCTACCAGTAACAATCTATATTCTTTTATACCTTAATGCCCAAGCAATAAGAGGCAGCGTTGTTGTATTTCATAGGAGATTACTTTCTGCTGCATTCCAGCAGCAGTGCGTAGTATTGCTCTGCTGCATGACTCTACTTGCAGCTTAAACACTTTATAATTCTTATTTCACATTTAACCCATGAGCAGAGATTACAGTGCCAGTGAAACCATCTAGTTTTGTTAGTTTCAGCTTTTGCATGCCCGTAGGGAGGTGGAAATACATGTGTTGCTTGGTTTCAGGTAATGATGTCAAAGCTGGGGAATGTCGGTGGAACAGGTATTGTGGTCCTCGGGCCAAGACTCTTACATAAAGTCAGTATCCTGCAAAGACCTTTGTGTCCCATAGCTGACTTTGTGCAGAATCTGTAAAGTCATGGCAACCAGATGAGGTTAGCATGATGTTTGTCCAGTTAGGCTTTGCTGGTGGTCAGCCCCCACACACACACCCAGAAGACACCAACCAAAACAAGACGTCAAACATCAAAAGGAATGTGTATGTTAAAGCCTGCTTGTTTTTAAGCTAATAATGCTAAACTGGGCTAGTCCTGCTGTTTAACTTAGACAGGCAGTATACTTTTCAATACTTCCAAATATTTCTGGAAGTGTTATTCCCTATCTGTACAAACAAGTTAGTGAATTCCTGAGGTGTTTTTCCCCACTCTGATTGGTGGAGAGAAATTAAGAAAGTGATAGATTGTTAGATGGAGACTTGGACACACCTGCCAGCATGTAGCAGCAGTACCAAAACATTCTAACATGCTCACATGAGCCTCTGCAGGGAGTGCTGGTATGTGCATGTGTGAATTGTGTGTGTGTGTGTTGTGCTCAGCAATGTGGTGTGATCCATGAGTTGTGCTATCTTGTGGTAACATTCCAGAGCCTTTTTTGCCAAGTCAGCTGTGCCAGTGTGTGTTTTTGCACGGGCTTGAGAGACATCAGGATCGTCACATGGCTCCAATTTAAAAATCCTTTCAGTGTGTTGTGTTGCGATGTGGATGTTACTGTTATGGTGTAGTAAACAGACATGGGGAAATAGTAGCAGAATAAGAAGAACTCTAGCTGGCTGCCAAAGCTAGATGTCATGTTGAGTCAGTGGTCGAAGAAGTTGATATTGTTGGACAACTTTTTATTAGTGGCGGACGTTTCATAATATAATTATCTTTTCTTAGCTTATTTTACATATAAACGAAATGATAAGTCTTAACACACCATGCGTTTTTTCTTACCTTACCATTAATTGCCACGTCGATATATTTTTATTAAACTGTTGTTTTTGTTGTGAACAGTTTCACACAGAAGGTAAATGTTACATGTTGAAAAAGCAAAGAAAAATCTAGAACAACGTAGATTTGTGAGGTTTGCATTGCAAATAAAGACATTAGCCAATCACGGAGCCAAGGGTTATGAGTTGATGATTACAAAACAACATCACGCCATGACATGGAGCCTGCGTAGTTCGAACCGACACGGCAAATTCTATCACTCCTTTCAACTTGAATTCATTGCATTCCAGGTCCACGCCTTCTGTTCCTGCCTTTAACAGTAAAAGCCCTAAACATAAACACTACCCTACCAGAAAGTACTCAGAAAGTACTCAGAAAGTACTCAGAAAGTACTCAGAAAGTACTCAGAAAGTACTCAAATTCACATTTTTATTGAGCAAATTTGGCAATTGTCGCAATTTCGCATGCCACAATTTACATTTGTTTAGTTTACTTGTCATGCACCCAGTGTGTAAATGCCTTAAGTCAGGACTAGTTCAAATGTTTCTTTACTGCAGTCTGACAACACACGTTCAAAAGCACTGCTACCATAAGGCATATTTGCGAGTTTTCCTTTATGGCCGTTGGCATCATAAAGCTAGGAAGGCTTACTATATTCAAGTCAGATGATAGTTAAACCAGCCATCTAGCCTCAGGTCAGACCAAGCAAACATGGAAAATGTGTATTTTGGAAAGGCGTCGTAAAAATTCAAAAGACCGGGTATTATTTCTCTGTAGGAAGTTTTGAAGAAAAGTGAACACAGACCTGAGACTAAGATATGGGAACAAAGAGTTAAAAAAAGAGACAGACGGAGAAAGAGACCCAGATGGGCAGACACAGGAAAACAAAGTCAAGAAAAATACTTGAGTCAGAAAGGGAGGAGAGATCCTGAGTGCAGGATGTTTTGATTTCATCCTCCCATTGTCAGCAGCAGGCAGAGAAGTGGTGCGGGTGGGTGACGCTGTGGAGCTGCTCTGATGAATGGCGCAGTGTGTGCTGGCCTCCTGCCTCTGAGAATGCCCCCATTACGACAGTGTCCCCTCGCCACCAACACAAACGGGCCCAATGGTTCTCTGTGGATAGTGTTTGAAACAAACAAAGCCAGGGTTACAGGTTCTACTCCCAGAGGTGTATGTCATCCTCAGTTATGGGCCATCAGTCACTTCTACACCAGAAGATAGCATCGCAAAGGCTAACACGCCAAAAAGCAATTGGATATTTCTATTGGATCTCTGAAAATTGCTACAAATATTTGTCTAACACATGTGTATGATACTAGATAATATATTCAAATGCAATCTCCAGTATTAAAAAGCTAATGTTAGGCTATTAATGAACACAATTATAGACAAATGGCTGCGCTAAGCTAAAGGCAGACTTGTGTATGATGTTTAGAAGTCTCATTTAGACACTTATTAGCAAACGCTGTCTTTATGTCATGTAATATATCTCTAGACAATCACGGGTGGGGTATTTACTGACATCCTTTTTGTTTCATTTGACAAAACGTCAAAACTCTTAAACGTTTATTAGCTACATACTTAATTTCAGGGATTTAACCAAAAATACATTACATTTTTTTTTGACTTCAATACAATTGAACCACAATCTGTTCAAATGCTAACTCATTTCCAGGTTTTAGGACTCATTCCTGCACCACTCTATTGCACAACTGGTTGCATTGGGTCAATAAACACAAAACTCTAGTCAGCATCCAAATGCATGTAAAAATGGCGTTGGCTGTTAAGTGTGTTAGTCCTGTGGCACTTATAGCAGATGGTGTGTTTTTAAACTGTCATCACTACTTGGCCTGTAGTAAACATATATAAACTGCTGTAGTTTGCTTCAGGTTCCAAACCACATTTGAAGACTCTGTTGACACTCTTAGCTAACAGTAAAAGAAACCGCAGGAGTTGAAAACACATCCTTTTATCTATGAATAGATGTACGGGAATAGTGAAGTAAACTCCGTCTTAAGTATTTTCTTGGCCAATAGGAAGAAACATTGGAGAGAGATGGTGAAAAGGACAAAAACAGCCAGGCATTGCCAAGAACAGTACCCCCCCCCCCCCTGTCCTCCTCTCTTCCTCTTCTGTTCCTCCTCTCCTCTCTGGTGAGGGATCACTAGGGGAAATCCAAACACTGCAGGAATGTTATCATTGTATTGCATTAGCAGCATTCCCTAGCTCATTTCATAGACTACAGACCCCTCTGTGGCATCGGGCGCCTGTTTGTTTCACCTCTCCTCCGTGTGTGTGTAAATCTGTTTACTTGTGTTTATATTTTCCTTGATTTCCTTTTTTCTGTTTAAGGAGGTCAAATTGAAAATTGCACTCAGATGAAAAATATATATAAAATGAGCTTAAAGAAATTAGCAAGTTTGCCTGAACATGTGTCTGGCTGTCCGCTTACAGTGCTTTGTCACAGCAGCTTGTGCAGCTCCTTTTTTGGCAAAATGTGAAGCCGGACTTATGGAAGTTTGTCATGGCAATGATCAGTTCAGGGATAGTTGGCAGTCGTTATGTCGAGAGGACAGTACAAGAGAGCATGAGAAATACAATCTCTGAGAGAGAAAAGCTGAGAAGTTTAAGAAACAAGCTAGTATTTTAGCATTTTAGGTTTTTTAATGCGTTTTTGTCAGTCATAAGGCCTGTGGTTAATACAACCGTACAACGTTTTGATCCACTACAGAAACAGCAGTTGCTTACACGTGACTAAGTGAGACTACTAAACGTCATCATGCCGAACATTAGCCACCTTTAGCTTAGCGACAATGGCGTGACGTCATGTAGTTTGTTTATATTATTATCTAAGCTTTTTACTCTTGGCAATTGCATTCATGCTTCACATGTTATAAAAGTGGTGTCAATATTTGGAAATGATCGTGTTGAACAAAACATGTAGGTATAACATGTGTGTGTTTGCCACAGATTTTATTATCTGCAAATTCCAAAGAGTAATGGGAAAACCACCTTGCTTTTAGTCGAGGAGCCATTGTGATGCTGACTTCTGGAACAATCAAGATATTTGATCGATTTCATGATACACTAAATAATATCGTCTTGTATTTTGGATATCTTAACATTGTAATATTGCATAATTGTCGTCTTATCCTAATTTTAAGGATTTTATTTTCACATTAATACAATTTCCCTTTACACGATAAGTCATTCGTGTATTCAAAGCACCAACAGTCAACTCAATGATTTCATCAAAATATGGAAAAATAAGTATTTAGTCAAAAATATTGTAATAATTATTCCATATCGCCCTGCCCTAATTCCAACTATAAAACGGTTATTGTGTAAGTTATAGGTGTGGACCATATTGAATAAAAACAAGTTTATGTGTAGTTGTGTCTGATGAAAGCTATCTGTGAATTTCTACTTTCAGATCATGTGTACGTGATCTTAAATGAAAAAAGGTTATAAAATAGTCATATTAATGGAAACGCATACATTTAATGGCTTGTCTGGGATTGTGATAGTTAAGGCCACATCAGTAATCTGTGATCACTTCCTTCCAAAACCACCACATCACTTCAAATCTGTCCATCCACTATTGATGTGTTCCCATTTACAAATCATTGCACACAGTGATTAGAGGACTGCTCCAGTTTTCCCAAACTGCAGACTCTGTATGTAGGAAGCATGAATCATATTTAAGTGTCCAGCTGTTTAAGAGGAGGGATGTGGATCCAGGTGGACTGCATCTGTTGGTCAGCACTTCAGTATCCGTGGTCACTTCCTGTCGCTGCTGTTCTCTTCTCCTTCTTGGCCTACTCTGCTTTCTCCTTATTGTTTTTTCCTTTTTTCTTTACCTCAGCTTCTCTTTCCTGCCTTCTCTTTTCCCTCAGTTTCAACCCCTGTCCTTATCCAAAAATGTTTTGGTGTTCAATTTCAACCATGTTTTTGGGTACAGCTGACCTTTCTCCAAATACTCCTAGACCTTATATATTTTTTTTATTTTCAACACTTTCTTCCCGTGTGTCACTGTTTTCTTTAAGTTCCGCTTGGTTCTTGAGGGTGTTGTGGTTCTTGGTTGGCGCCTTAAAGCCCAATGGCCAGTGTGAATATGCTGAGATGATCCCCCTCTTGTTTTTATATTGTTCCACCACAACACCAAAAAAAAAGAGGCAGTTATGGCTTTCTTATTCAAAGAGTTTAACCTTTCTATTTACTATGAAGACTATTTGTGTTGTTTTCTAAACGAAATCTTTGTTGAAACCATGATTCCACATGAAATGTCATTGTGCAGTTCTTGCGTTTCTGTTTCCTGTTGCTTTCAAGGGTAACATATTAAATCTGTCAGTCTGTGTTCGTAACACGGGTCACATTCTTCGTCTGGCTTTGCTGTCACTCGTGTGATTAACGTCTTTTAAACACTACAATTCTTTCTCCCTTTTTGCAGGTTGCAGTTGTAAAAGTGAGAAACACTGACAAGGTATTCGCCATGAAGATCCTCAACAAGTGGGAGATGCTGAAGCGAGCCGAGGTAGGCGTCACACACTTAAAAAGCTTTGAAAGATTTGTGTTGGGCTGCACCACTGCTGCCTATTATGGATATGGGGCATGAATATATGAAGATAACTGGACAACAGCGTTGGAGGCGGGGCTCAGGTTATTCATACGAAGGTTGCCAAGTGTCAAATAAGGCTACAATTACTTCATTTGAATCACTCTTGAAAATATAGTTCTTCTGGCTATTTTCCGAATCCTACACATGCAACCTTTAGTTCTCATTAAGCCCAGCCTTATATCCACTACATCACGTCCCTCTCTGATCAGTCAAAGGATTGGGAAATCAACTAGGCATATGACTAACACATTTTACACACGCAGGACTGCATTTAAAGAAAGGCTAGTAAGGTTTTCAGACTGCAAAGTTAATTTACCAAGGCCCAAGGAAGTGAGCCGGACTTTGAAGTACATTTTCGTAGGCCAAACAGTGTTACTACACCTCCTGTCTCAGTCTGTGACGTAATCGGCTTAAATAGCCTTTTCCCATTGACTTACATTGGGAAATACATGCAGTGTAAATCAGCAGATAATACTTTTTTAACTAAATCAGCTTCCCAGCACTAACACCTTTTTAGCCCATTAGGGTCTAAACGTTGTAAAAATGCGCTAAAAGCCGAATCCAGAGTTATTTTCGCTCTGTATTAGGCGGTGTTTACACGATAACGCAAACGGTTGTATCCGCAACTTTTCTCTTTCGTTTAGCCCGTTCGTCCACACGAGGCCGTAACGGAAAAGCGGAAACGGACCCCGCAAACGATAACGGGTCCCAAGGTGGATAGATCTGCAACCGGAACGCTCTGGGGGGCCAAACGGCTCAGTGTGTACGCCCTATACGATTATTTTCCTGATAACGATGAGCCATAGCCCCACCTCTGCTGCTCACTGCTGTAGCATGGTCAGTAGCTACTGACCATGCTACAGATGTTAGTGCAAAATCTACAGCTCGACCATGCTACAGATCAGATGTTAGTGCAAAATATACAGCTCCTCTACCACAACCATCAGCAACAAGTGGACATGGAGAATTACATGAAGTACATGTTGCTAAATCCACCGCGGGGCATAAACAGAAGGGCAACCATGGCAACCATGCTCTGGGGTCTTCTTCGCTGCTTTTGGTGTATTTTGTGGCGAAAGTACAGCGCCACTTACAGGCCCGGCATATGTACTACAGCGTCTCCAGCGCTTTCGAGCGGTCTCGTGCGGAAGTACAGCGCCACTTACAGGCCCGGCATATGTACTACAGCGTTTCCAGTGGTCTCGTGTGAACGGACACGTTAAATGAGCCGAATGCGTGTGAACGGAAGACTTTTTTGAAAACGAATTCGGTGCGTAAACGCAAACATTCCCGTGTAAATGGGGTCTTATGGCGCATTTCCACCACACGGTCGGCCTCGGCCACGCTCGGTACGGCACGGTACGGCTTGGCCGCGTTGGGCCTTAACAGGGCCGACTCACTTCATGCTACGCTTCCATTACAGTTTAGGAACTGGGGTAGTTACTATAGTAACGCAGTGTAGGCGGAGCCGTGACGTCATCTTCAACGAGAACCCCAGAAAAACAACACAGCCGTTAGCTGTTAGCACTCAGAGCTCACAGCTCCTTATATATGTTCAGAAACTCGACAAAAGTTAAACAAGTACAAACCACAGACTGTCTGTGTCATGGTGAATACAGTCGCTACTTTATTTATGTCTGTATAGGCCGTTGTTGTGAGTGTGGACGGTCGGAGCATATACTGCGTTAGCTTAGCCAATCCATCTAGAAAAACACGAATTTTAAAAGGTTTTTCGCCTGCCGTCTGTCTGCAGACTTGTCAAAGCATTAATTCATGGTTTTTACTAACCGGTATCAGTATGTTGTTACTTCGGCATCATTTTGAAACGTGTATTACAATTAAATCACGGTCAAATATGTCCATCTTGTTGTAGTTGTAGCCCCCTTGCCAGCGATCCTCTCTCTAGTTTAGCATACTCAGCCCGACTCAGCCCTGTTTGTTGGCCCCGATAGAACCACAATTTTGTCGGGCCAGAAAAGAGGTGAAAAAGTGGCGCCGGGCCGGGCCGGGCCGTAACTAGGCCTAGTGGAAGCGCAACCAAAAACGGGCACGGCACGGCACGACACGGCACGCTTAAAGCGCGCTCCGCGCCATGGTGGAAATGCGCCATTAGTCTGACTCAGCCTTGACTCTGTGGATCGGAGGCGGGGCTTAAGGGAAACTCAAGTACGCACTTTCTATGGGCCCAGATACGGGTACTTTGCTCTTGAGTCAGACCGTTTTGGCTTCATGCGCCACTGAGCAACTCCCGTAGGATTGAACAGGGCCCTGCCTCACGCTGTATCCAGTCCTCTTTATACATCCATGATTTCCACGCCCTGCTCACTTACTGGGGGCTTGACACAGCACCATGCTGCAGTATTGGGGAAATCTTTACGGAAAATGATAAGGATTTCTGATTATTTAAAGAAGTGTTGGCTCCACTATCAGCACTCTCATCAGGCGTTCACTGAGAGATGTTTGCAGAACGTGTTGCTGCTTGAGCCTCTGGAGCTGCCGCTGCATGTTTTTCTCATCGACCTCTTCCTGACAGTCTGACATTCCTTTTGGTCCCCTGGGCCTTCAATCTTCATGCCTCATACGTCACAGGCTAAAACTGCTCTCTGCTGTGTGTCTGTGTGTGTGTGTAAACGCCTGGACATGGGAAACAATGTAGAGCAACAGATGTACTGTAGACAGTGCACACCAAGCATGTAATTGTCGCTGTAGACAGAGAACATCAAAGCACTGAGCAAGTATTTTAAATACTGACATTTAGCAGAGTTTCTTCCCTTTTCAGAGCAAGATTAGTGGCCATATTTAGTCGTGGCATTGATTTGCATTAAGTGATCCATTTACTAGAGCTCTTTCCCAAAATAAACTTTATTTAATAATTACAACTTGTCAATGCGTGCCTAATTAAGTGTGCAGCAAGAATCAGAATACTTTATTTATCCCTAGGGTAAATTGGGTTTTGAGACAGTTAAGATTTAAATAAAATAAAAGATTTATAGAAAAATGTAATAAAATATTCCCATAAATATAGGGAGTTAAAGTAAGAAAGTGCAATAAAATAAATTAAAGATATTTAAATAAACACAATTTGAAGTAAAATGTCCAATAAAGAAAAACATAAAATATTTATAATATTTCCTTGGATAAAAACTTTTTGTTCATTTTATAACACTTTTATAGTACAGTTTTACTTTGTCAGTTTAATCTTAAACCAAATTTAAACTTTATTTTACTTACAGTGTTACTAAAGCTGTCTAGGCCTTTCACTTTTGAAAAAGTGACCTCATGACCTAAGTCTGTTAATGACCATTAAATCCAGTTTCTCTTGTGTTAATCAGGTTTGAATCATTAAAGGGGCTATCTGTTTAATATGGCTAAGATGTGATATTGCAGAAAGCTTACAAGACCTAGGTAAGTTAAAGAAAGGACTCAAAGATGAGCAAGCAATCCATCTCCATTCCAAGCATGTAGACGTTTGACCTCCTAATGGATGGGGCCAAAGGTGTCACACTGTTACCATGTAGGGTTGATAGGAAATCATCCACGTTTTCCTTCCCTTCTACTTTAGTTTAATTGGTATACGTCTCTGAAGTAACATTGAATTTGATTAAATAAACAAAAGGCTTGCCCAGAGAACTACACTACACAATTATTCTCTGCTAGAGGGTTCAAATGCATCACTGTTGTGCAACCTTCTAATCTTAATGTGTTCATTACATTTCTGTTTAGACGGCGTGTTTCCGGGAGGAGCGGGACGTGTTGGTGAATGGGAACTGCCAGTGGATCACCACCCTGCACTACGCCTTCCAGGACGACAATAATCTGGTAACACAGCACTCCATTTCTTCTTCTCGGTGTATTCATGAGCAGGAAAACATTTTTTTGGTTTGGTTCAGGTTTTTCCACCAACCACCATAATTGTATTTCCAGAAGTCCCCCTGCCATGGTTTTAACCTTAACTTCTCCCAGTGAACTTTTAACATGTATTATCCGATGACTCCGTTTTCAGTGTCTTGCTTCAAATATTTCAGCACTTGGTACTTTCCAAAATCACAACCACATTTCTACTGAGCGGCTCCACCTGCCAGTTCATTTATAGAAAACAGCACCACCTCTGCATGATGGCTGGTGACCTGCCAAACGCTGACCAGCACATTCACTCCTCACCACAGAGCACAATATGACTTAGAATCGAAGGAAGTTGAGCAACAGATGTGAACAGGCCAAAAAACATTTACGCAAAAAAGCAAAAAGAAAGAGCTGGCAGACCAGTTCTTCTCCGCTCCGATTGGCTGCTGGAGGCAGTCGTCTCTCTCCCTGTGACCCTGAGTTCAAATGCCAGGACTGCTCGTCATTCCATTTCCCACATTCTCACAACAAATGCTGGACACTCCCCAAGGCCTTAAACATACTCAGCATGGCCCGTACAGCCGTCTATTTTTAGGAAAAAGCTTCCAAACTTTAGAAGCATTTAAGAGCTGGCTGCCCCTCTCTAGTAATGATACTGTGAGCAAAAGGGAGAGAGGACTGAGAAAGGCGAGGCAAAGAAGGGTGGTATATGTTTGACTTTAATCTATGAAACTCTAGTGTTGTTTTCTATATACAGCACCTCACTGTTTCACACTTCACTAATATTTTGATTCTATTCTCCGCCCAAATTCATTTCTTTCCCAGTAGCTGTCATTATCTCTGCTAACTCCCGGAGGGGACCACGTGTTGGGTCACGTGTGTGTCTGTCTGCAGCTAATCTTGCATACGGCTTGATCCATCAGCCTAACATTTTGTGTGCACATTTATGACTGCATGCTGAATGAACTCTGGTGGTTGTGGTGTTTCACAATGTTTTGAAAAACATAATTGGGTTGACTGTTTTGTTCTGTCTTTCTCTGCTGTCTTTTTGCTTCTCTTAAAGTGCCGGTACGCGCCACAAGTAATAAACAACCGCTTTAGCAGCAAAAGGAATTTCTGGCAACTAGCCAGGCTAAAAACAAGCATTAGCTAGTCTGTTGTAGGCCACATTCTTATCTTTGTCAAGGTTTAAAAGCTAAAGTCCATAGAAAAGTCTGCTTTTATTTTTTAACTAGATCATATGCAGATTAATTCAGTACCCAATTTGTTATTATCCACTTAAGTTTGGCACAACTAGAGATGAACAAATCCCTGTTTGGTTATATTTGCCACCATCTTGCCTAAAAAAAAGTCACTGGCACTCAAAACCAAAATCAAAAGCGGCATTTTAACATACTGAAAGGACTTCAGCCATCTATCACATGAGCTCTGCACTTGCGTAAGAGGAAATAACTCTGCATTATGGCAGGAGGCATTAGTCTAGACAGGAACAACTTAGGTCTGTAGATATAAGCAGTGTTTGCTGACCATAACGACTTACTTTACTATCTATCGTCCGTTCGTTCTCTTCCCTGTGCACTGATTCCTTTATTCTGAACAATTAAACATGTAGAATCGGCTTTGAGGTCAAGGCAAAACAGTGCGAGACGAATCCCAAAAACCAAGCCGAAAAACGCTCAGCAACCGACAGCTCCAACTTGGCCAACGGTCACTAATCGGCTTGGTGTTTTTGGGCTTTAAGAAAGCTGGAAAGTGACAATTAAGTGAGGAAGAACCGTATTGCATTTTCATAGTTGGCATTTTGTCTAAATTCTCTCTTTCTGTTTGTATCTTTGTCTCTCCAGTACCTGGTCATGGACTACTATGTGGGTGGTGACCTACTGACTCTACTCAGTAAGTTTGAGGACCGGCTGCCGGAGGAGATGGCTAAGTTCTACCTGGCTGAGATGGTGCTGGCCATCGACTCTGTTCACCAGCTACACTACGTCCACAGGTGAGGAGCAGGCAGAGTGTGATTCCATGTTAGGAGGTGCTAATGTGTGTGTCTGTAATAATTCAGAGGGAGGAACACACTGAGCATTAGGTCCTGATGATGGATGTTCAGTGGATTCACATTATTATTGCTGTGTGGGCAATTCTCCTGCAGGGGGGAGCAGCTAAATGAAAATACAGACGAGTGAGCGTGCACATGTTTGACTTCAGTAATCACGGAAGGTGGTCAACACCACTGACTAATTAGAGTATATTAGTTTGTGTTCCTCCGTGTGTTATTATTTCGCACTTGAGCATTCACATTGAGGTTTGTGTGTGAGAGGCTTTGGAAAATAACTGCGTTGCTGGAAGAGATACTCATCATTCCCTTCATTAATCATCCACACAACATGTTAATACAAGAAAAGGTCCTGCATCTTAACTTCTACTTAAGTAAAAGAGAAGTAGTATGAACTAAATATACATAGAGTGGCTATAATCATTCGTGGTATAATGGTAATCTCTCCAAGTGAAAGCATAATGTGAAATGTGTTACTCGTAATACAAAAAAACCCACTGATGATAAACACCTGATTCTGCTCAGCTTTAGAGATTCAAAGTGGGTTTTATGCTTTTAGTTTAGCTGAAAAGGTTCAAACATGCTGTGCACTACCTGCTAAGCACCAAATAGCAGACAGACATATTTAAAAAGAATCTGGTGAACATTTAGCTGCTCAATAGCCTAAAATCTGAGCTAAAAGACAGAGAAAATTGAACTTACAGTGATCAGGTGGTGAGAAACACTTCTTCAGGCTCAATAACGCCTAGTTACCCAGTCACTTGATTTGTAAATAAGGAATTGCTAACGTGTTAGCATGTCAACTAATAGGTGATAGTGCATCAGCTGTCCCAAAGTTGCAACAAAGGCATGTTACTGGTTCAAAGCAACAAACAGCCTAAAACAGTTTGTTCACACCCTGCGGAGGTTTTCCTGTAGATGTTTGAATCATTTGTCAGCCAACAGAAGATGCCCTTGGGAACAGGACGTTTGTCTTTGCCAGACAGGAAGTGGTCACATTGGCATGTTAACACAATTACAGTGTTGCTGTCGCCAGGGGAATTGCACAGCAATTTTGTTGAAGAAGCAAGGCAGGGTGAGATAAACGGAGTGACAGATGAGAGATGGATGGATATCGAGGGAGGGGTCAGATCAAGGGTTCGATAGCTCCGTTTTGGGTGCGTCTGTTGTTACTCTGATCTCTAATAGGCCGCTGCAAAATCAGACGGAGAGAAACCTACTGAGAGGCGAGTTCTTCAGAGACCTAGATATAAATGTATAAGTAAAGAAAGGGAGTGAGAGAGAAGAGAGTAGGGAGCCACTAATTGCATGGTGTTATCTGGGGGCCGGTGGGGGGGGTTGGTGGTGGCAGTGGAGACGGAATAGTACATGGAAGAAAAAAAAGAGACGGGGAGGAGGGGACAGTTTCTCTTTGACTCTCCTCGTGGACGCTTCGGGACAGTAATGATATGGTATGGGAGGTGTGTGGGTGGGGGTGTGGTGCCGTTACCTCCCCCCATGGACCAACCCCTCAACTACTCCTGTGCTCTCACTTACACACACACTCGTGGGAGATTGCTGTGTAGAGGGTGGAGACGGCCAGGTCCCCTGAGGAGGGCGTGTCCTGCAGGCTGAGCCCGTCTGATGAGTGACTGCGTGTTTGGGTGCATGTGCTTCAGGGCGTGTTTACCCCGGTGATGGTGCACGAGTTTGGTCTGTTTCCAATTCTTGTGACTGAGTTACAATACAATGCAGCAGCCTTGTAAGTGAAAAGCTCTAACGTTTAAAAAATAAAATAAAAAATGAATTCATGGCTCACTTTCCGTTACACCAAACACACACAACCACTTTTGGAAATACAAATAGGCAATACCGTAGTTTCCCAGCCTTTTCTCTTAGGAATTACAATTGTTAGTGGTCGGTGGGTCTACTGGGATCATTTAAGGTCTAATACTAACTCTACTGTGACCCACTTTGAAGAGGATCTATTATGCTCAGGTTTATATTAGTATTTTGTGCCTCTACTGTGACATGTTTTCAAGCTTTAATGTTCAAAAAGCTCTTTATTTTTCTCATACTGCCTTTTCACCCTCTGTCTGAAACCAGAGCCCAGCCTGCTCTGATTGGTTAGCTGGCCGGCTGTAGTTCTTTAACAAAACAAACTACACAAGCCATCAAAAGCTCCTGTGGGTTCAACTGGGAGAACTAAACACTTTTAGTGCTGACCAGCTCTAACAGACTCACTATACACCGGCAGAGAAACTTAGTAGCCTAGCTACATTAAGGCTACTAGTGACTAATAATGCAACAGTCTGGTGATAATTCAGGTTTCTCTGGAATAGCAGTATGAGCTCACTTACTCAAACATTATGTCCAGAAGGAAAAAAGAGTCTTATATTCTGTCTGATATGGTGGCCTAGATTATGTTCACCAAATGCAGCGTTCCTCAAGTAGTGTGATCAGGACATAATATGGATTTTGTCCCCCCATTTTTGTTTGGTTTGTATGCTTTAAAAAAGAAAAGAAGCTAGAGAGGGAAGGAATATTTGACTGTGTTTTTCATCATTCATTTACCAGACAGGGGGCTGCAATATGTTTATAACACTTCCCAATGTTATGCCTTAGTGATGCAATAGCTGTTCCATTGTCTGTGTATTTCATGCTACTGATTACAGACGTGCCTTATTCCACCATTGCAGTCAAATATATTAAAGGGAGGGAAACTACATGGCTGATTGTGTATTGAGTATATCATTGTATTATTACCCTATATGTCTAAATTAAGTCATTTTAGTTCCCCTAATGCGTAATTTTGTTATTGTGAAGTCATTGACCTTGCCACAACGTCGGCCCATTTTTAGATGAATATTTGCAGTCCTGTTGACACTGATTAAGTTGAAAAGAGCCCAGATGAGAGAAATGAAGAGAGAAGAGCCTTGAGGTCAACCTTCTGCCCCCCTCAGCTGAGTCCCACGAGAGGCAGCGTGCGTTAGAGGCAAGGGGAGACCGTGTGTGTGTGTGTGTGTGTGTGTGTGTGTGAGAGAGTGTGTTCATTTATTCAGTGGTCAGTGATCTGCATGGCCTCCCCGAGGGGCCTGACTAACATTTCAATGGGCCAACTCAGCATGGCTTTGTGCTGCCGAGCACCACATCTGTCTGCCACGAGTGTGTGTGTGTGTGACACACTCTGTGAGATTCTGATGAGTGAGTGTGGAGGTGGGGGTTGGTGCAGAGGGACGGCAGTGTGAATGGATCGAGAGAGGGGCAGATCTGTTGTCATGGAGAGAGGAAGACGAATTACCACTCACTTAAATGAAATAAGATGTCATGTGACAGTGTGACAGCTAGCGTCTTTTCTGAGTGGGGTCTTACTACAGTAGAATACTGTGTGCTCATGTGAGCCATGGTGTATTTTCCTATTGATTGCAGCCTTTGTGTGATTTATTATTGATCAGCGCCATGTGTCTCTACACAGCTGAGTGATCTAAGAGAGGATCGAGCTCTCTTTCTTTCTCTCTAGGTCCTACACCATCCACCTGTTTTATGCACACTTTCGTGACAATAAAAGAAAAATAAGACCTATTGTAACAAAATACAATTTAGTGATTAAACTATGAAGCATGTGAGTTCAATGTCAAAAGAAAGAAAGAATAAAGAGATGGAAAATAATTGCAGATTAAATTGACCCTATTAGGCTTTTGGGGGTTTTCCTTTTCCTGTAGTGTGCTCTATAGGTTGTTGTGCATGTAAATGGTCTGCAAAGGCTACAATCAAAAAGCCTTGTGAGTTTCTCCCCCCCCCCCCTCTCCCTGCCTGAAACACTTTCATTGGACTCCTTCAAGCTCTAACCAATCAGAGCAGACTGGGCTCTGGTTTCTGAAAAGAGGTGCTGCAGCTCAGGTATGAAAAGATTAAGAGCTTTTTGAACACTAAAGCATTGGAGACATGTCCCAGGGGAGGCACAAAATACAAATATGAGCCTGAAAATAAGTAGGGCCCCTTTAAATTAGTTTCGTCATCGCTCCACACATATCATCATAACATTTTCCGGGTTCGGTTCTGGGTAAAACAAAGATGATGCGGGTCGGGTCGCGGGTGTTGCATAATAAATATATTAAAATAATAATAATTTAGTTTAATGTTTAAATCCTCAGACCTCTCCCCCGCGGGACCGCGCATAATCATAACCTCTGCAGCGCATCAATCTGCTGCTGAGCGCGCCACATTCGAAATGGCTGAGGTGAAGCTCTCTAGCGGAGAATACAGCATTTTCAATAACACTTCCTCAAGAGCGAAATCCAACGTCTGGGAGGCTTTTGGTGTCATCCTAGATGGAGAAAATAACCAACATCCCACGCTTTTTGAGACAAATATGCAACTGCGTGTGTTAATAATTGCACGTTTTCACTGCTCATAGGATATGCGGGTTCGGGTCGGTTTGCGGAACTAATTGGCAATATGTGCGGGGGGCGGGTTCGGTATTGCACGTCGCGGGGCGGGAGCGGGTCTTGAAAATCAGACCCGTGCAGGACTCTGCTTCACAACCTTCTGCTCATCTTGATGTACATACTCCCATTAATAATCCCATAACGTTAGTAAATGAAAAAATCATTTATTCGCATTATCTTTTGCCAATTTTAATGAAATCACACAAATACACTTTATAAAAGATCTTCATTCACATTGTTAAATGTGTCTATCTTGGATATTATAATATTCTCAAATTCGATTGACGACGGACATTTATTTGAAATGTTAGTTTTTCGATAAGTAGGAAGAATGTGTCAGTGTTTGTCGTCTGTGTGTGTCAGTATCTAGTGATGACAGGAGTCACACAGGCAGCAGTTCTTTGAACCATAGTTAACAAATGCTTGGCTAGAGCCATGTGGACATGCCTTGTCTTTGCAGTTTCCACTGTTGCTGCAGGCCACATTGTGTGTGTGTGAATGTGTGTGTATTGTGAG